TCCTGTATCCATCTCTTCTTATTATAGCCATGATTGGACTTCCTGAGAAGTTGGAAGGAATCGAAAACCTACATCACACAATATACGCGGACAATGTGACGCTGTGGATCAACAAGGGTAGTAACGGACATAATTGAAAGCACACTTCAGGCGGCTATAGATACCATCGAACAATATCTCGAACCACTAGGGTTAAAATGCTCGGCAAAAAAATCAGAGACTCTTTTTCTACCATCGCAAAAAAATGGCAGCATATCCACGGAGTGAATGATGGAGAATGGGGCGAAGCATTCGTCTGTTCATTTGTTCTTGCATCCGTCCGTCCATGCGTCCGTCTGTGTTACCATCCATGCGTCCATCCGCCCGGCCGTGCATGCGTCTGTTCATGCGTCCGTCCCTGCGTTCATTCATGCATCCGCGTCCGTTCATGCGTCCATCCATGCATCTGTCTGTGTATTCGTTCGTCCATCTATTCAACACTCCAAGAACCACCATCTCGCATCTTTTCATCACATATTCCCCATATATAAGCACCGCCATCAAGCGGACATTCCAAGGACTCAGCGAGAGGTGGCACACGCACACTTTCTTATGGTTTGTGCTTCGGGTCTACTTCCCACCTTTAACCACCTCGAGTTTATGGTATATACTAGTTCACTGTATCCATGGCACTGCGGCCCAACGCTCGCTAAACCTTTCTAAAACCAAGGAGGTTACGCCCAGCGAGTATAACGTAGCAACCTTTTCCTTTCAGATAGTGCTCAATGTACATGCCAATGACTGTTAATGGGAAATGAGAGACAGGAGAATTCGGCTTTTACTTTCTTACGGCTTGCGCTTCGTATCTACTTCCCACCTTTAACCACCTCGAGTTCATGGTATATACTAGTTCATTGTATTCATGGTACAGCGGCTCAACGCTCGCTAAACCTTTCTAAAACCAAGGAGGTTAGACCCAGTGAGTATAACGTAGCAACCATTTCTTGTCAGATAGTGCTCAATTGATTGATTTGTGGGGTTTCACGTCCCAAAACCACCATATGATTATGAGTGACGCCGTAGTGGAGGGCTCCGGAACTTTCGACCACCTGGGGTTCTTTAACGTGCGCCCAAATCTGAGCACACGGGCCTACAACATTTCCGCCTCCATCGGAAATGCAGCCGCCGCAGCCGGGAATCGAACTCGCGACCTGCGGGTCAGCAGCCGAGTACCTTAGCCACTAGACCACCGCGGCGGGGCAGATAGTGCTCAATGTACATGTCAATAGCTGCTAATGGGGATCGCAGCGTGCGCGTTAACTAAAAGCCGAATGCTCCTGTCTCTCATTCCCCCTTAGCAGTCATTGGCATGTACATTGAGCACTATCTTTAATTGTTCAACAACGCACAGAAGAAATCTCTCACCGGCACCACCTTGGAGGTCAAAATGTAATACTCGTCACACACTACAACGGCTACGAGGGACGAACGGGTGCCATTATAAGGAGCTTCGCCCCTAAAAAAAAGCAAAACGAACAATCCTCTCAGAAGGGGTTGTGACATCGCTTTACGAGTGAATGGCAATGCAATTACAACCATAGACAGCATTTTAATTCTAGGAATGCGCTTACAAGGAAATGGAAAAAATACTGAAACTATAAGACTCGAAGCTAGTACGAACCAGACGTGCCGCCTGCTTAAGCGCATTTCTAACAAGAATGCGAGGATGAAGGAAGTCAATCTTTCAGGGTTTGTTCAAGCTTTCATGATAAGCAGTTTACTATACGTCGCCCTTTATCTTAAATTGGATATAGCAGAGAAAGATAAAATTGAAGTCATAAGGAACGGCATCAAAACTGCACGAGCGCTTCCCCCGAACACATCTACAGTTAAACTTCTAGGGGTGGGCGCCTCCAACTCTTTAGATGAGCTAATGGAAGCCGCGGCGATGTGACAGCATCAAAGGCTGTACAGAACCGGAAGGAAAATCGTGGAGCGCTTGGGGTTCGAGCCTACGGAGTGTTCCAGCTAGCATACCTATATCAACTAGGGCGAGACTAAAAGTTACACCACTGCCAAAAAACATGCATCCGGTGTTCCACAAAGGCAGACGAAAAGCTGTAGCCCTGCAGGTGAAACTTGAAGGTTGATCTGTCGTGGTTTACGTGGGGCCGCAGAATACGAAAAAAGGGGAGCACACACAGCGGTAGTGGTTCGCGAGAGCGGGGACCTGGTCTCGTGCTACACCTACAGAAGAACACAACCACCACAGAGGCACAAGAACATGCGATTGCTTTGGCTATAGCAGAAAAGCGCACATGAGTTATCGTTAGCGACTCTGAGTCAGCCATTAAAAACTATAATATGGGCAGGATCTCTGCTACAGCCACCAAGAGAGAGAGAGAAAAAAAGAAGGCCAGGAGGTTAACCAGATATTTTAATCTGGTTCACTACCCAGCACTGGAGGTGGGGAAATAGGGACACGCAAGAGGGGTAGGTAGAGAAGAAGAAAAAAGCTACTGCACTCACGAGGAAACGAAAACACACACAGGAAGGGCGTTCTGGCTACAACCGTTCAGAAAGGCCGGTGGATCGCAAAAAGTGCAGTAGCACTTTCAGGGCCTTCTTCTGTGAAGTTGCATCTCGTCGATATTGTAAAATTCTTTCCTCCGACAGAGGTTGATTATCTAATTTGCTGAGTTTCTTGCGAAGGCATAGCCGTAGTCTACTATACTCTAGGCAGTCACAAAGGATATGCTGGATTGTTTCTTCTTTACCACAGTGGCCACAGGTCAAAATTTTAAGACAGGGACCAGTGCCCACAAAGCAAATCTCACTGATATGGTAGCTGGCCCATAAAGGTCCGAAGGAAAATGACAAGGCGCACGCGATCGCCCGAGGGCTCACTTTCCGGTCGATCGACGCTGACCCGCCGCCTTCACTCGAGCAGCCCCTCTCCACAAAAGACGAACAGAAAGTTTCAGTAAATCACCGCACATTATAAATTCCATCGTAAGATTTATCCAGAGGCCGCTAAACAGCTGAACAAAAAGGAGGAAATTATGTGGCGCAAATTGCAAACCGGGGTGTTTCCAAATTCTAACTGTACAGTAAATGGCACCCGGAAGTGTTGAACTCCATGCAGATGTGTGCACTGCAACAGCACTGTAGGTTTAGCGCACATGGTATGGACCTGCCCATTCTACAATGATCCAAGTAGAAACGTAGAATCCTGGCAGGCCTTATTACACAGCCTTGACGCCGAAGAACAGCGTCAAGTCATCAGTCTCGCCCGGACCGCCGCTGAGTCCCAAGGGATTTCGGCCGACGGCTAGGGGAGTGATCGGGGGCAGAGGACGAAGCCTCCTCCCTCGTCATTCTAGACGGGTGCAAATAAACAATATTTCTCTATCTTTTAATGTTGGTTCCATTACCAGGCAGAGAGTGGCCTTGGCGTGCCTGCACTGCACAACACGTTTAATTGTTAATAAGTCTTTGGGGGCCCCTATTCACGTAATGTGTTCTGTGCGTCAAGGCTACCCCCCCCCCTCCCCTCCCACTCCGCTTTTGTTTTGTATTTATATTGAAGCGATGTGTCTCGCAATCAATGAAAACGATAAAATACGTGGTTTAAGCTTGGCGGCAACAGACGTCAAGCTGATGGCATATGCAGTGGTGCAATTATATAAAAGTTCCAAATCCGGACGGAGGCGTTCTGTCGTTGACGCCAAAAAGTGGGCGGTCCGCAGTGGTCGCGAGGACGAGGAAAAGCAAACAGCCAATGAGGGATAAAAAGGCCTGCGTCATCATTTCGACGTCGACTTGGAGACTGTATAGCAAAGTAAAAAGTGTTTGTAACATGTTCAGAAGTGTTTGACTATTATTGCGCAGTATTAAAATGTGTTGGCACTAGTTTTCAAATCTTCAATAAGGAATACGACACAATCGAAACGTATTTTTTTCGGTTATTGTTCTAAACAACGCTAAATTTAGCGAGACGATTAGTGGTGGCGCTAGGTACAACTTTATTTCAAGCAGTTACTGTTTTCAAATCACTACTAAACGGCGCAACTTTCGAAGTCGTTGGCTCGGTCAAGCGCAGTCATGGCGGAGGGCAACAGCACCGCTAGCCACCAGCAGCAGCGGCTCATCCGCGTTTCCGAGGGTCAGCACGCGCTGGTGCTCGCCTTCATGACCGAACATACACCGCTCGCGGTGAAAGCCATTGAGCTGCAGCATGGCGTCACGGTCGCCGACCGGCGGCGGCTGTGGCAAGAGCTCAGCGACGCGCTGAACCTTGAAGGCCCTGCGCAGAAAAACGTGGATGAGTGGCAGGCTTGGTGGCGCAGGCAGGTGCACGAGGCCCGCCGTGACGCAAACCGCCATCAAGGATGCACAAACGTGAGTGACCGTCGAATGTGCGGGCGATTTGTTCTTTGACATTGGTGTATATTTCCAGGGGCACTGGAGGGGGTCATCTGCCAGGCTTCCGTGGTCGCTTGTTGCAGCTAACCGGGTTGGCACGCTTCGGTGGCGTCTTCGCTTGCCTCGAATATCAACAGGTAAGCACTCTGCCGCCGCAGTATCACGGGTTCCTTAGCGGTGCCATGAGAGAGCTTGCCCATTTTGCAAGGGGTGCCTTTAGGGGAACCTTGTTGAACAATAAGATAGTGCAGGAAAAAGAATTCAAAAGCAGGTAGGTTTATGAACTGAAATCTCACTTTGCAGCCCTTGCAGTAAAAGCCGTATTTATTTATCATAACAGACATGCAATGCCTGCGGGCAAGTGCATGCACTAAAATGGTAATACAGGTTATCAATGACCACTGAATAGCTGCAGAACATTTCCGCAGATGTTTAGTACGTATGGTTGTAAAATAGCCAGAGTAACAAATACCCTTTTTCTGAAAGATTATGCCCACGACACTTTCGAGCAGGCGGATGTTCCCGCTCCTGCAGTGGAGGTGGAGGTGGAAGCCACTTGAGCGGCTGCAGGTGGCAGTGACACAGTGACACGTAAGCATCTGAGAACTTAGTGTTTTATTGATTATGGGACGTATGTGCCCCCAGTTCGTGAACTTTTATTCTTTACTCCACAGAAGGCCCCCCAAGTTACTCTGAAAGCGCGCCCGCTACACCGGGTAAGTTATTGATCATCAAAGTGTTTTGAGAAAATAACCTCTCGTATGTTATTCAAATTGTCCAATTATCCACAACATGGCCATAGACTTAAAGCCTACCACAGCATGCGGTGACAAAAATGCTGCATGTTTTCAGTGTCTCAGCCTCCTGTGCGGCCTCGCCGTCGACAGAGGCCACGGCGCGCCAACACCTTGTTGCGGGTGTCTTCGTAGTGCGACCAGAGCCTCGAGCAGAACAAGCAGTTGCTTGATGTGAGTAGACCGTTTGTTTACATTTTACGTAAAGGGTGTGAACATTTTTGATGCTCTGTTATGATGACTGATACCAACTTCGGCTGTAAATAAGAAACATGCATTGCATTGAGGGCACGGTATCTGACATCTGCAATGATAAACTGCCGGGCAAAAGGTTGGTTAGCCCTGAAAAGGGCTGTTTGATGGTAAGAGATGCATTTGAGGAGATGAATGAAGAATAGTTCCAGCAATTGTTTGTTGATCCAAACGAAGAGGGCATAGCTTGTACACGAAGCTTCACACTTTCAAAGGATGCCACCAGGCCAATGAATTTTCAACTGAGGGGAAATGGTTGTGCACGTTACAATTCTCAGCAGCAGCAGCTTCGAGCCACGAGATGGTCGAGAGTTCTTCAGCAGCTCATGCAAACATTTCCACCATGATGATTCATTGCAGGTGGTGCGGGGGATCAAAAGGTCAGCCACCCACATCACTTCTCTAGAGCGGCGTATGGCAGCAGCACAGCAGCGGGCGGCAGCAGCGCAGGAGCGGGCGGCAGCGTTGCAGGAGAGCATCCTGCAGGCGGTCCAATCTTTGGCCAAGGCTGAGGGCCCTCTGCGGGAAAGAGCTACATAGTTATTTTAAATTTTTCATTATGTTTTTAATGTTTTAAATTTTTATCATGCATTATTCGTTTGTTAGTTTTTATATGTTTACGTGTTGCTGTCAATGTTCTATTTCATACGTTGTTTTTTGCATTTAATACATATTACTAGCTTTAGGCTAGCATTTACTTTGTACAAGGAGTACAACATTTTTTCTTCACATGTCTTTCATCTCTTTTGATGTTTGATATATGCGTTTCTCAATTTATGTTCGACCTACTCGTGAGGCAGCGTCTCCCCCTTCCCCCCACCATCTTAAAGGTGTCTAGTCATCCACACGAAGACCAAGAGCGTATAGTTGACATTTTTGTGAATGTTTTTAGCACTGTGATATTTGTGTTGCCTCACTGTTTTCTAGCTCACTGCGCTTTTCATGCAGCATTACCACATAGCGTTGGACAGTGATGTCTTTTAGCCTCACACTGTTTCGCAGCTCGCTGCATTCTTTATGAAGCATGTTTACCTGCCGAAAATTGCTTACACTTTGATATTGTCATTTCAGCGCAATGAGGCTAAGGTACAACTACAACCAAGTCTTTTTTGAGATCACTAAACTAGCAAGTGGGTATGTCGCACAGTTTCACTAATTAAAATGGTCATCATCACAGCAACATGCCAGCAACTGTTTTCATTTAATTTTCATTGTAAATTACTCATTGCAGGAATTAATTTTTAACGTGGTATGCTTTGGGAGCAGTGAGATTGCTGAGTGAGATTCATGCCGTATGTCATCAAAACAACCCACATGTTATTTTCTGCTTTGATTTACGTATTTTGTAGCATTGCAGTATAACTGCAGTCGAGAATTCAAATCAAATCAAATATTATTTAAATATTTACACAATGTTGAGGACAATAAACAAAAAGCCGGCACGGCATTGTGCTCGGCAAGCCTAGCGTGTACAATTGAATGCTTGCAGTCAATGACTATGAGAAGAGACGGACATATGTATCATGCGTTCTTGCAACATGTTTTTAATGTAACTGCAACTTTTATGCGTTTTCGTGAAAGAAGTTGTGTGACGTTGCTGCATTGTTTCCACAATCTTTTGATGGCAACAGTCAGCACAGGGTGCCGCTCATATATGCTTGCTCCAATCTAGTCTGTTGTGACTGTGATCACTGATATAGAAAAGAGTGTTTCCGTCGCCTATTTCATGTGACATTTAAAGAAAATGCAGCATTTTCCCATTGCCACCATGCATCATGTTGAAGCACGAGTAAGTACTTTGTGTTGTGGCAAACACGGCCCTGTCTTGCCTGGGTGCATTGGAATTAGTATGAATAAATTATGAGTGATATGACAGCTTACCGCTCCTGTGCACTTCAAAAAAGGCCCACGACAGCACTGCGCTGCTGCTGTCCTCTGAGCAGCACGTTGCGCGGTGTGAGCATATGGCTCTCTCCTGGCTCCCCATCGTCATCCTCAGCTGGTGGCATGTCTCCAACATACTCATTCAAGCTCCAGTCCCCCGCATCCAATGCAATGTTGTGGAGAGCAGCGCAAGCATAAATAATTCGCCCTGCTCGATCGGGGTTGTAGAGCATCGTTCGAAAGTGCTGCAAGCAGAGGAACTTGCTCTTCAACACTCCGATACATCTTTCCACAACATTGCGCATGAATGCGTGCTCCTTGTTGAATCGGCCTTCGGAAGTGTTGCCGGGGTGACTGCCAGGGACTGGAGTGAGGAGCCATGGCTCGAGGGGATACCCTGCGTCTCCTGCAATAGTAAAATGGCGGCTGAGTGCTCTATCCCAGTTAATTCACATTAATACTTACCAAGCAGATATTCGCCAGGCTGCAGCTGTGCAGCTAGGCGTGCACGCAAAGGGTTGTGTTCCCAAACCCAGGAGTCGTGGCACGAACCTGGAAATCGTGGGTCCACAACAAGGATGCGCAGCCGCGCGTTGCACACCTGCAATGAGTGATACAAAATAGTATTGCATCTATGCTCCAAACAAACCCTTTCTTGCTACACATAAGCCGGAAACAATGCATACTAGTACAGTCGTTGGTACAGGCAGTTTCACCTAGAGGGAACACGGGGACAGGATGTAGCAACTGAGGAGGGAAGGGGGCAATGACCATTCCCCTGTACACATGGCTACGACTTCCACTGAATGATCGATAAATGAAAACCTACGCCATGCTATTGGGAAAGAACACTCGTAAATACCACAGCTAGCCCATGCAATTGTGGTTATAAGTACTTTAGTGTTTGAAATACTTCCCTATCGTATATATAATTCGGCTACGACTACATCCCATATTCTGATTACCTTCAAAATGCTCAACTCCGTTGCGCATGCATGCCAGAACGAAGACACAAATTACGACAACTGGCTCACTTACACAAACACTTGCCACTTATGATAACCGAGTCCATGCGAGCCACCAACTAGCACGCACCCACTTCTCCGCAGGTTCTCTCTTATTCTTTGAATTAGTACTTTTGCCAGCTCCGATGTCAAAACTGAACAACTACTCCGATGAGCGAGTAAGAAAGGATCCTAACGGTACTTACGATCATGACGTTCAGGGCATAATAGCCCTTTCTGGACATGAAACTCGCCGTGTCGGCCAGGCTGTATCCCTCTGGCTTGCGAATGGCGACCAACGTGCCGTCGACACACGCCAGCACGCCTGGGATGCAACCACGTCGTGCAAACTCCGCCTTAGCCTCATTCTTGGCAACTGTGGTCAGTGGGAAGTCCACCACCCTTTTTCTAGCAGCCACGGTGATGATCGCCTCCGTCACCTCGTGGATGGTGTTGCTCACCGCCGGCTGAGACATGCCGATGTGTTCCTCGCGACCAATGCTCTTCTGGAAGCTACCGGTGGCGAAAAATCGCAGCGCGCACAACACCTTTCTCTCTGTGGAAAGGCCACTGGCTCGCTGGCTTCCGATGATAGGTTCAAGTTCGTCGCACAAGCTACGCACTGTTCGTTTGGACAGACGAAAACGTTGCCGGAACTCTTCTTCGCTGAACTCTTCAAATGCATCATTTACCTCGCGTCGTCGCCTCTGCTCGGTTAAAGCTACCGCACAGGCAAGACGAAGTACCGTGTCAGTGGGAAACGCTATGTTGTCTAAGTGCCCCGATGCCGAAAAGTCGCGAATCTCTTCCATTTCAATCCAATCCAGGCCACCTTGCAGCCATTTCAATCCATCCGGTTGCTTTCGGACCACTCCGTGCATTCGGACGGTCTCCGACATTGCGGTGTGTTGTACTAACAAAGAAAGTGTTGAGGAACAATAAGTGTTGTCAAGCAGTTTTGTAACGTCACAGGGAGCCTAGTGAACTGGGGGGAAACCCTCGGGTTGTGTCATAGAAGATGGCCTTCAAAACCGGCCTACTTTGCGAATGTGTGCTGAACGGAAACGCTGACTAGGTACCTTGGTGTTCTCCTTGAAAGTTATAAAGGCAGCGAGAAGTATTCGTCGCATCAAACAACAGCTCTCCCATAGTAGAGCACCTAGTGTTCTAAATCGTTAACTACTTTACCTAAACACAACACAAAAAAAAGACGAAAGAAAAGGCAGGCAGGTGGAAAGGCACGAACCTGCCTGTTTTTGCTAGAGCAACTGTGAGCAACATGTTTATAGCGAAGCTGTGGTATGTGATGCAGATGCTGCATTGTTCCAGGATCTACGTGCGAAGGCTGCACACTGGGTGTTAGCGGTCTTTATATGGGTCTCGGAATAGAAAAGGCGGAGCCGGACCACTTTGTTCAGGCGCATGAAGGCCGGGGGTCTAGGTTTAGCACACCTATTTGTAAGAGATGTAGTAAATAGATTCTTGTTTTTCGGTGACATTGGTGATCCTTTTCTGTATATGGTATGCCAACTCAGGTTAAGCAACCCATTACCAGATCTCGTCATCACCACTGCTGATAGCATGACGGGGACATTGCGTGGCTGTCTCGAGAAAGTAGTGGATAGCGTACGTTCCTTACTTGTTCGTTTTTCCTTTGATCATCTATGTAGTGTTAGAAGAAAAGAACTGTACATAGTTTTATGTGACGTTGTTTTTCTAGTGCCATTTTAAAGGACCATATACAGTGGAAGACCAGGACAAAATGTATTGAAGCGGGTTAAAAACATGGAGGTGTCCACAGGAGTGAAAAAAGGTTCTTTAAATTACACATCAGATTACTATCAGTAAAGACATTAACAAATGAACGGGGTTGTTATACACAATTGGGAACACAATGTTTCATTTGCAAGAAACCTGAAATAATAGATCATGTTTTTCTTCACAGTTGGGAAAAGGTATTCTTTCGGGACGTCTTACAAAGAACAGTGAACAAAGATCCACTGGATCCATACGAGATCAGTTATCTCGCATTGAGGAATGACAATGGGATCCCATACGATATCGTGATGTTGACTGGCCTCCCCTGTATATGACGTGCACAAATGGCTGGATACCACTATGACCCTGATGCTAAGCCAGCAATAATATATTTCAGGTAAAGCATGACTGCTTACATTGAGATGGCAAAAATGCAATAGTGCGTGCTGGAATGGCTGATAAGGTTAGAGCCTTTGGCAATCTCGGAGGAATTCTAGGTAGACAACACCAGTTTATGTGGCACTGATGGCTTGTTTTGTTTGTGTGTGTGTAATTTAGAGGATGTAATTGTATATTTTGTAAAATATGTTTGTGTACATTGTCTGAGACCAGCCATAAATATAAAGAAAATCTCCTCGTTAGTGTAGGGGTTAAAATCCCAGCCTGCCACGCGGGAGACCTGTGTTTGATTCCCCGACGGGGAGCTTGTTCTTTTTCTTCTTTTATATTAACCTAATTTTATGTGGGAGATGTAGCGTCATTTTTGTTTGTTTGTTTTTTGTTTAGGGGCGAAGCTATTTATGGCATGGCCTGTGCGTCACCCGTTGTCGTAGGGCGTGACCAGTGGCACATACCCGACCTCGGGCACATATCCACATGTTCACATGTTAGGAAAAACGTAGTACGGCGTCGTCATCATGCTCTCGCTGTTAACAAAGTGCTGACAGCAGAAATGTGGTATATAATCTCTTTTATTCCTTGATTTGTTGGCTTTATGACGGTACTTGTACATGATTAATATATGATAAAAAGAAGCAAGATGGCGTTACTTGAAGTGTTCAATAGATGGATGGACGAACGCATGGACAGACAATCAGACAGACAGACACACAGATGAACGGACGGACGATCGGACGCACGCACAGATGGACGCATGTACAGATGGACTGACGCACAGGTAGACAGACGCATGGACGGGTGGACGGACGCATGGATGAAAGCACGGACGGATTGATGAACACTTCATCCCACTTATCATCACTCATTCCGTGGATATGCTATAATTTTTTTCTCTTCCACTGAATCCGTCGTGTCGCGAGAGAGGTCTAATCTGAAGGACAGCACTACCGCGTCGGTCACTCTTCTTCACACCTTCGTTAGTATAGTGGTCAGTACCCCTGCCTGTTTAGCGGGAGTCTGGGGGTCAACTCCTCGACGGGGAGAGCTGATTTTTTAAATTTTATTTTTACATAATTTAATGCGCAAACTGTAGCGTCATTTTCTATTTCTTCTTCCTTGAAACCATCGTGCCATGCGAGAGGTCTAATCTCAAGGACAGCTACGCTGTGTCTATCCTCGTTAGCATAATGCCACTTCCAGTTGCGAAAGCGTTCGGACGTGTGTGTGGGCACACACACAAAAACTATTTTTAATATTGGAATGTTGCTCGGCCACCTGCAGCAAATGACACGGTGTGTGTTAAGTCACTGTAAGCGTGAGCTATCTGCGCTGCACAAAGAATCGGTGAGGCACAAAAGATCAAGCGAACAGTTTGTTTTATGGCTTGCTCTCTGTCACGGACGGCCATTTTTGGCGACACCGCGTCACGGCAATTAACGGGCGCCGTACTCCCCGACTGACCGTGAGAAACGGCGGCGCATGAAAGGGAGCCGAGAAGTGCAAAATGGGGTGCTCTTCTTAGAACGTCGCCGCCGACGGTTAATCCTTTTGTAACTGTGGCGGCGTCTGCAAGGTCGTAGAAGGCCGCGGTATACCCCGAACAAGGATTAGACTACGAGACACACCGGCTGAGAGCGAAACGTTTGACCGTTCCCACGGGGAAAAGCGTGGGAAACGCTTTGGTGGCCAAGCCATATGACAACAACCCGACAGGTTGTCACTCTCGCTAGTTGAGGGCCCTCTCCCAATTAAAAAGGGGTGGGGTCAAAATATTTTTGGGGCGGAGTTTCCCATCAATTAAACGCGCATGATTGGACCCAGGTAGAGGTCTCTTGTCCCCAAGGAAGAGAGCGAGGAGACACGAGGGGGATTTAAGCGCAGGATTTTGCCCTGCTAGGCAGACTAGTCGCTGACCAACATGGTGTAGAAACAGATCAACAAGCATCTCTTCTAGAAGTTTTTAGTGTGGCTCTGTATCGGCTGGCCACCTAAACTTAGCCGTTCGTCTAGTTGTGACGCGATATTAACGTCTGCAACGTAGACATCGGGACTTCGCCTCGAGTTAGCTCAACCTGCTCGAAGTCACCTGCAAGCACTAGCCTCCCGGAGCCACCAGCGTTGCAACACCGCCGACATCGCAGTCGTGCCAGAACTCTCTTCGACTTCTTGCATCCGATCGTCGGGGACACAACGCTGCCGGTCATCACACGTATGCCTTCACCTGTTTATATCTTCGAACTTTCTCCTCCGTCGTTCTATTCTTGTTAGTTTGTGTAGTTTGTAATAGTTTTCTTTCGTAAGCTGATTTATTGTTTCTGTTATATATTTCTTTAGTTGTATCAAGTGTCGATGTATTTTGTTAGTTGTATTGAAGTGTTGTATTAGATCCCGTGTGCTGCAATATCACTATAGAGTAAAGTTGTTTTGTTTTCTCACGTCTCTGATCTCTTCACTGTCTCTGCTTGCGTACGGAACGAACCAACCTGCTGTCATTCCCGTCGCCGACTTCGCGCTGGCGGCGCTTGAATGGCAGCTTGTAACACTCTCGCTTGAGCGGCAAACGAAGTTCTTTTTTTTTACCAAAATGAAACGAACAAAAAAAAAAAACGATACATGCTTGTGAACACAGCGGATGTCATCACGTATTTGCTGCTGCTGTCGTCAAAGCAACTGTTTAGATTTAATGTCAGACATGACGCGCAAGCCCCACACTGCCTCTCTTTAATGTCTTCAGCGCTACGTAGCCTGTAATTTTACAAAAAAGTTTGCGTATATCACGGCATGTCGATATGTTTCGTATGCCGTGATATGTTTCGTATGCCGTGATATGCGCGTTGAGCTTGAAGAAAGAAGTCAATCGCATTTGTGACATAAATCAATCGATCAAACAGTTTTTGTTGTGACATGAAAGGATGATTACAGAGCATAAAACAAGAAGACCTCCTTACGATTCCGCAAAGTAATCTCAAAACTCTAAAACAACGAACAGATTGGTAAATCTTGATAGAGGGCTTGTTTCTTTTCCCCTTCGTGTCTTAACTTTCGGTAGGTCAATTTAATTTCTTAGCGATTGCTAGTTTTTTTTTTTTTTTCAAATAAACCTCCAAATCCACTCAACCTATTGGGCCCCAAGCTTCCACGTCTTTTAGGAAAATTAAAACTGCGCTAGGACAAGAAAACGAAATAAACAGGACGATCTGCGATCATCCGGTCCACTTCGTTTTCGTGTCTTGCTTTTAGCGCAGTTATAATTTTCCT